TACCACAACCACCACAACTACTACCACAACCACCACAACCACCACAACTACTACCACAACCACCACAACTACCACAACCAATACCACAACTACTACCACAACTACTACCACAACCACCACAAATACTACCACAACCACCACAACAACTACTACCACAACTACCACAACTACTACCACAACTACCACAACTACTACCACAACCGCCACAACTACTACCACAACCACCACAACTACTACCACAACGACTACCACAACCACCACAACTACTACCACAACCACCACAACTACTACCACAACGACTACCACAACCACCACAACTACTACCACAACCACCACAACTACTACCACAACCACCACAACCACCACAACCACCACAACCAATACCACAACTACTACCACAACTACTACCACAACCACAACCACCACAACTACCACTATCAATACCACAACTACTACCACAACCACCACAACCAATACCACAACTACGATCACAACCACCACAACCACCACTACCAATACCACAACTACTACCACAACCACCACAACTACTACCACAACCACAACTACTACCACAACCACCACAACTACTACCACAACCACCACAACTACCACTACAACTACTACCACAACCACCACAACTACTACCACAACGACTACCACAACCACCACAACTACTACCACAACCACCACAACTACTACCACAACTACCACTACCAATACAACTACCACAACCAATACCACAACCAATACCACAACCACTACCACAACTACTAACACAACCACCACAACCAATACCACAACTACTACCACAACCACCATAACCACTACCACAACTACCACAACTACCACAACTACCACAACTACCACAACCAATACCACAACCAATACCATAACTACTACCACAACCACCACAACTACTACCACAACTACCAATACCACAACCACAACTACTACCACAACTAAAACCACCACTACCACCACTACCACCACTACCACCACTACCACCACTACCACCACACAGACAAAGATCCCCCGTGTAGCCTCTAGCAGGCTGCAGGGGCAAGTGCTGCTAGCGAGCTGCATCTATGAAGGCTACCGGCACTGTGGCACACGAGGGGGTGGGTGGCCAGCACCACCACGCCCGACCGCCTTTGTCTCCCCAGTGGCGATATTTACACACCGCACCAGGTACTCATTTGAGGCTGAGTCGACCTAGGGGAGGCCCGGGACCGGTTCAGATAATCGTCACTGGTGGTGTTGGCCGTGAGCGGGAATCGAACCCGGGTCGCCAGGTTCATAGCGCAGCGTAGCGCTAACCGCTACACTATCGCTCCCCATACATACACACACAGACACACAGACACTCACACACAGACACACAAACACTCACACACAGACACTCACACACAGACACACACACAGACACTCACACACAGACACTTACACACACAATAGACACACACACAGAGACACACACAGACACACCACACACACAATAGACACACACACAGACACACACACACAATAGACACACACAGACAGACACACCACACACACAATAGACACACACACAGACACACACAGACAGACACACACACAATACACACACACACAATAGACACACACAGACAGACACACCACACACACAATAGACACATACACAGACACACCCAGACAGACACACACACAGACACACCACACAAGGACACACACACACACCACACACAGAGACACACACAAACACACACACAGAATGAACAATAGACACACACATACAGACACACAGACACTCACACACAGACACTCACACACAGACACACACAGACACCCAGACACTCACACACAGACACTTACACACACAGACACTTACACACACAGACACACCACACACACAATAGACACACACAGACACACCCAGACAGACACACCACACACACAATAGACACACACACAATAGACACACACAGACAGACACACCACACACACAATAGACACACACACAATAGACACACACAGACAGACACACCACACACACAATAGACACACACACAATAGACACACACAGACACACCACACACACAATAGACACACACAGACACACACAGACAGACACACCACACACACAATAGACACACACACACAGACACACACAGACACACTACACACACAATAGACACACACACAGACACACACAGACACACCACACACACAATAGACACACACACAGACACACACAGACACACTAGACACACAATAGACACACACAGACAGACACACCACACACACAATAGACACATACACAGACACACACATACAGACACACAGATACACCACACACATAGACACACCGACACACACACGCACACACAGACACAATGAACAATTGACACACACACAGACACACACACGATGAACAATTGACACACACACAGACACACACACAGACACACACGCAGAATGAACAATTGACACACACACAGACACACACACGATGAACAATTAACACACACACAGACACACACACAGACACACACACAGACACACACACAGACACACACAGACACAAACCGAAACACATACACCGACACAGACACACACACAATGAACAATAGACACACACACAGACACACACACAATGAACAATTGACACACACAGACACACACACAGACACACACACAGAATGAACAATAGACACACACACAGACACACAGACACACAATAGACACACACAGACACAAACCGAAACACACACCCCGACACAGACACACACACACAATGAACAATAGGCACACACACTGCCACACACACAATGAACAATAGACACACACACACTGCCAAACACACACTGACACACACAATAGACACACGTAAGACACACACACACACCGACAGACACACACACACAATGAACAATAGACACACTGGCACACACACACACAGACACACCACACACAGACACACACACACAGTGAATAGACACACTGGCACACACACACAGACACACCACACACAGACACACCACGCACAGATACACAGACACAGACACACAGACAGAATGAACAATAGACACACATACAGACACACACACAATGAACAATAGACACACACACACACTGCCACACACACACTGACACACACACTAGACAAAGATAAAGATCCCCCGTATAGCCTTAACAGACTGTAGGGGCAAGTGCTGTTAGCGAGCACCTTGAGTCGACCTAGGGGAGGCCCGGGACCGGTTCAGATAATCGTCACTGGTGGTGTTGGCCGTGAGCGGGAATCGAACCCGGGTCGCCAGGTTCATAGCACAGCGTAGCGCTAACCGCTACACTACCGCTCCCCATTCACACACAGACACACAGACACACACACAATAGACACACACACACAATAGACACACACACACAATAGACACACACACAATAGACACACACACAGACACACAATATACACACAGACACACAATATACACACAGACACACAATATACACACAGACACACAATAGACACACAGACACACACACACAATAGACACACACACAATAGACACACACAATAGATACACACAGACACCAACACCGACACACACAGACACACACAATAGACACACAATAGACACACACAGACACACACACAGACACACACACAGACACAGACACACACACACACACAGACACAGACACACACATACACACACACAGACACACACACAGACACACACACACACAGACACACACACACAGACACACACAGACACACAGAGACACAGACACACACACAATAGACACACAGACACCGACACAGTCACACAGACACGAACACACACAGACACGAACACACAGACACACACACACCGACACACACACACACACCGACACACACACACATACACACAGAGACACACAGAGACACACACACACACACCGACACACACAGACACCGACACACAGCCACACACAGACACAGACACCGACACACCGACACACACACATACACACAGAGACACACACACACAGACACACACCGACACACACAGACACCGACACACACACATACACAAAGACACAGACACCGACACACACACAATAGACACACACAGACACCGACACACAGACACACACAGACACTGACACGCCGACACACACAGACACCGACACACCGACACACACAGACACACACACACAGACACCGACACACCGACACACACACATACACACAGAGACACACAGAGACACACACACACAGACACACCGACACACACAGACACCGACACACACAGACACCGACACACCGACACACACAGACACACACACACAGACACCGACACACAGACACACCGACACACCGACACACAGACACCGACACACACACACCGACACACACAGACACCGACACACACACACACACACCGACACACACAGACACCGACACACAGACACCGACACACAGACACCGACACACACACACACACAGACCGACACACACAGACACCGACACACAGACACACACAGACACCCACAGACACCGACACACAGACACACACACACCGACACACACACACACACACAGACCGACACACACAGACACCGACACACAGACACACACAGACACCCACAGACACCGACACACAGACACACACACACCGACACACACACACACAGACCGACACACACAGACACCGACACACAGACACACACCGACACACACAGACACCGACACACCGACACACAGAGACACCGACACACAGACACACACAGACACACACCGACACCGACACACAGACACGAACACACAGACACACAGACACACACAGACACGCACACAGAGACACACCGAGACACACCGACACACCGACACACACGCACATACACACACATACACACAGAGACACATAGAGACACACACACAGACACACCGACACACTCACACACAGACACCCACAGACACCGACACACACACACCGACACACACAGACACGAACAGCCGCGTCTGCCGCTACCTTCTAGAGCCGAAGCGTGGGCAATGACAAGCGCCAGGATGAGATCCATGAGGACGGCTGGACTCGCGGGGAGACGAGTTTATCCACCCTCCCCCCCACACACACACGGGGTGTGATGATGGGTGGGTGGGTAGGTGGGTGGGAGGGTAGGTGGGTAGGTGGGTGGGAGGGTAGGTGGGTGGGTGGGAGGGTAGGTGGGTGGGTAGGAGGGTGGGTGGGTGAGTGGGGATGGGGTTGTGCGGGACTGTGGATCGATCCTATTGTTAGATGGGGAGGAGAGAGGGGAGGGAGTGAGGGATGGGCGCTTTGGGTGTGAGTGTGTGTGGGGGGGGAGCGGTGGTGCAGTGGTTAGCGCACTGTGTGTGTGTGGGGAGTGGTGGTGCAGTGGTTAGCGCACTGTGTGTGTGTGTGGGGGGAGCGGTGGTGCAGTGGTTAGCGCACTGTGTGTGGGGGGGGGGGAGTGGTGGTGCAGTGGTTAGCGCACTGTGTGCGTGTAGGGAGCGGTGGTGCAGTGGTTAGCGCACTGTGTGTGTGTGGGGAGTGGTGGTGCAGTGGTTAGCGCACTGTGTGCGTGTAGGGAGCGGTGGTGCAGTGGTTAGCACACTGTGTGTGTGTGGGGAGCGGTGGTGCAGTGGTTAGCGCACTGTGTGTGAGTGTGGGGAGCGGTGGTGCAGTGGTTAGCGCACTGCGTGTCTGTGTGTGTGACTGTGTGTGTGTCCCTGTGTGTGTGTGACTATGTGTCTGTATGTACGTGTGTGTGTCTGTATGTGTGTCTGTATGTATGTCTGTTTATATGTATGTGTGTCTGTATGTATGTGTGTCTGTATGTCTGTATATATGTATGTGTGTATGTATGTATGTGTGTCTGTATGTATGTATGTGTGTATGTATGTGTGTGTGTTATGTATGTATGTCTGTATGTAGTGTGTATGTATGTATGTGTGTCTGTATGTATTTGTGTATGTCTGTATGTATGTGTGTGTTATGTATGTATGTCTGTATGTGTGTATGTATGTATGTGTGTCTGTATGTATTTGTGTATGTCTGTATGTATGTGTGTGTGTTATGTATGTATGTCTGTATGTGTGCTGTGTGTATGTCTGGGGAGCGGTGGTGTAGCGGTTAGCGCTACGCTACGCTATGAACCTGGCGACCCGGGTTCGATTCCCGCTCACAGCCAACACCACCAGTGACGATTATCTAAACCGGTCCCGGGCCTCCTCTAGGTCGACTCAGCCTCAAATGAGTACCTGGTGCGGTGTGCAGTGAACATCGCCACTAGGGAGACAAAGGCGGTCGGGCGTGGTGCTGGTCACCCACCCCCTCGTGTACCGTTCCGGCCTTCATAGGTGCTCGCTAACAGCACTTGCCCCTACAGTCTGTTACAGGCTATATGGGGGATCTGTATCTATGTGTGTGTGTATGTGTGTGTGTATGTGCGAAAAGCCACTACGGGTGGCCACGTGGGATGTTCGAACGCTCACTGCGGAGGAGAGGCTGCCACTCCTCTGTCGGGAGCTGGACCGGTACCGCCTGGATCTATGCGGCATTCAGGAGGTCCGGTGGACCGGCTCTGGCTCCTGCCACCATGAGGGGTGGACAGTCCTCTACTCGGGGCAGCAGACTGCCAAACAACAGGGTGTGGCTCTTCTTTTGAACAAAAGAATGAAGGGGGCATGGGAGCGTGGCGGTGAGGTGTGGGAAGCTGTGAGCCCCAGGCTACTTTGGGCTCGCCTTCCCATCAACCGGAGGCGAGGAGTGGTGGTCGTGGTTACTTATGCCCCCACCGAAGACGAACATCCGTGGAGGGATGCAGGCAAGGGCGATGAGTCAGATGCCTCCTATGACCTCCTGTCACAGGTGCTGGCTAAAGTGGCCCCTCGGCATAGAGTCATCATGTTGGGTGACTTCAATGCCCGAGTTGGTCATGATACTGGCACCTGGTCTGGAGTGATTGGAAGGCATGGGCCAGATCAGGAGGTTCGGAGAGCCGTGAGGCGCTGCAAGGTTGGGTGGTGGTCGCGGGTTGCTGAGGAGATGGAGTCTGCCTCAGTGGCCCGTGATCACAAATCTCTATTTAACTCCATCAAAAAAGTAACCTGCAGCACCACACCTATTACCATCATTAGGGGAAAAAACGGTGATCCAATCATCGACCCCCAGGAACAGGTTTGCAGATTTGCTGAGCATTTCTGTGAGGTCCTGGGGAGGGAAAATCCCTCAGCCAAGAAAACATCGTGGCACAAAGTGAGGATGACCCTGCTGAGGCTGCGGTGCCTCAAATATTGGAAGAAGTCACCCCCTGTGAGTGGCTGGCTGAGGTGCCATCTGTTGAGGAAGTACTGAAGGCGATCCGGAGTCTGAGACCAGGAGAGGCAGCGGGCAGAGATGATCTCCCAAGCGAAATGCTGAGGGAGGGTGGCGTTTGTGCACAGACTGCCCTATATGACATCATAACAATGGTCTGGACCAGGACGGGTTCCGCAGGATTGGAAGGATGCCCTGGTGATCCCCCTCTTTAAGAAGGGGGACCGCACAGACTGTAACAACTACAGGGGCATCTCACTCTTCAGTGTGCTGGGAAAGGTCCTGGCAAGGATTATTCAGCATCGCCTTGCCAGGCACGCTGAGGAGAGGCTTGCGGAGCCCCAATGCGGTTTCAGGAAGGGGCGGTCCTGCACAGATGCCATATTTTCTGTCCGTCTGCTACAGCAGAGGTGTAGGGAATTCCAACAAGAGCTACATCTCTGCTTTATTGCCCTGGTCAAGGCCTATGATACCATCAGTAGGCCTGGGCTCTGGGTCGTTCTTCGTGCTTTTGGAGTACCTGACCCTCTGCTCACGATCATTAAGGACCTTCATGATGGTGAGCGGGCCCGGGTAAAACTACGTGGCCGGGAGTCAGAGCCATTCCCTGTACACCTTGGGGTGCGACAGGGATGTCCTCTGGCTCCCACATTATTTAACATCTATTTTGACCACGTAGATCGTGAAACCTTCAATAGCTGTACCGGGGGATCTCCATATGGTACAGATATAATGGGAGGCTGATCGATGCCCGGGTGCGGTCAAGGGATGGCTCCCTATTGCTCAACCACGTTATGTATGCTGATGATTTGGTAATAGCTGCTCAGTCAGAGGAGGAGTTGGAGACGCTGCTGCTGAGACTGGAGCGTGCCACTAAGAGGTGGGGCCTTACCATCAGCCCCACCAAAACTAAGCACCTGCCTGGGTATTTTGTACCATCGGACACTCCACCCCCACAACTCCCAATCGGTGATGGGGCAGTTGTGGAGAGAGTGGAGAGTTTCCCATACCTGGGCAGTGTGCTTATGACCGGCTCCAGTTTAACAGCAGAGGTCTCACTCCGAATCAGTCGAGCGGCAATATCTTTTCATCGATTGCGTAACGCTGTGTGGAAGCTACCTGGTCTGTCGCTCCGCACTAAGCTTCAGGTCTTCTCGGCCACGGTCATTCCCTCCCTTCTCTACGCTTGCGAAACGTGGACCCCCCTAATGGAACATCTTCGCCGGTTGGAAACATTTAGGCTGGCCTGCCTACGATCCATCCTGGGTTTAACCAGACTGGATTGTGTGAGGAGCTCACAAATCCTTGAAAGATCTGGGCAAGGTCCCATCGGTGAGCTCCTCCGGCGGGCAAGGCTGCGATGGCTGGGTCATGTAGCCCGCATTCCCAGCCACCGCATGCCGAAACAGCTTTTGTTCGGCCGGATTGAGGGGGCTAAGCGGGCGCGGCACGGTCTAGAGAAGAGATGGAGTGATGTGGTACAGGAGGACGTGGAGCTGAGTGGACTTGCCGATGACTGGTATCAGCGGTGTCAAGATCGGCCTCTGTGGAGGAGGCTCGTGAAGGATGCTACTGGGCAGTTGGAGGCAGTCGCCCTCCAACAACAACGGAGGGCGGAGGAGCGACGCTCACAACAACGAGCGGAGCGCCGGGTGGCTAAAGCACAGCAGGTTGGCACAGTAGGGGGCACAGGTGGTGCATCAGCCAGTCATCTCAGTCAGTCGACCCGTGGCACCTGGGTCTGCCCCGTGACCTCCTGCCAGCGAGCGTTCGACACTTCACGTGGCCTCAGGGTGCACATAGCCTGGCACAAGCGTCGTGGTGACGTCACCGCCACTTAGTGGCGAATGGCGATTGTTGTGTGTATGTGTGTGTGCGTGTGTGTATGTGCGTGTGTGTATGTGCGTGTGTGTATGTGTGTGTGTATGTGTGTGTATCTATCTGTCTGTATGTGTTTCTCTATGTGTGTGTGAGTGTATGTGTGTGTATGTGTGTGTGTATGTGTGTGTATCTATCTGTCTGTATGTGTTCCTCTATGTGTGTGTGAGTGTGTATCTTTACCCCGTGTGTGTGTGTGTGAGAGCTACACGGGGTACCTTAGCCACTACCTTCATCTCTCCCCCCCCCTCCCTCCCCCGTGTGAGCGTTCCGCTACACGCGTGGTAGGAGAGCTGGTTGTTGTTGCTGGTTGTTGTTGCTGGTTGTTGCTGGTTGTTGTTGCTGGTGGTGGTGGTGGTGGTCTTTGTGGCTGTGAAGGTCGCAGGGTTTAGGAAATCCGGTCCACGTGTCCTGTCCGCCTCTCAACGTGCAGAGAGGGAGAGGGAGGATCGATGCATACTGATATACACACATATATATACACATATACACACATATACATATATACATACACATATACATACACACACACATACACACACATATACATACATACACACACATACACACACATATATACACACATATACATACACACACACATACACACATATACACACATACACACACATACACACATATACATACACACATACATGCACACACATACACACATATACATACACACATATATACACACACATACACACATATACATATACACATATATACACACACACATACACATATATACATACACACATACATATATACATATACACACATACACACACATACACACACATACACACATATACACATACATACATACACATACATATATACATACACACACATACACACACATACACACACATACACACATATACATACACACACATACACATATATACATACATAGACACACATACACACATACATACATATACACACATACACACATATA